TTTTTCGGGACCGGCAACGGATCGCAACCCTCAGTGTCGTGCCCATACTGGACCGGGACCGGCAACGGGATCGCAACCCTCAGTGTTGCCCCCGCTCCTAGCTCAGCCAGTGAGCGGTCGGTCTGTATGTGGGATCCGAACACTCAGCGGGAGCGCCGCCGCGCTTCCCAAGCAGCGCACTGTAGCAGTGCGCCACCGGGCCGGCCCCAAATTTGATTTTTTTTAAATAGACTTTTTTGGGCCGGCCCGGTGGTGCACTGGATAAGTGCGCTGCTTGGGAAGTGCGGCGGCGCTCCCGCCCGAGGGTTCGGATCCCACATACAGACCGGTTCCCGCTCACTGGCTGAGCGAGGCGCGGGAGCAGCACCGAGGGTTGCAGTCCCATTGCCGGTCCCCGGTCCGGTACGGGGGCAACACTGAGGGTTGTGATCCGTTGCCGGACACGGAAAAAGACAAAAGACAAAAAAAATAAGAGCAGTTTTAGGTTCACAGCAGAATTTGGTGGATGGTACGAGATTTCCCAGATAGCTCCTATCCTCACATGTGCATAGCCTCCCATATTATGAACATCCCCCACCAGAGTGGTGGATTTGTTTCAATGATGAACCTACACTGACACCTCATTATTACCCAAAGTCTATAGTTTACATTAGAGTTCACTCTTGTGTTGTACATTGTATGGGTTTGGACAAATGTATAATAACGTCTATCCACCATTGTAGTAACATACAGAGTACATTCACTACCCTAAAAATCCTTTGTACTCCATCTAGATTTGTGTATTTCTCTTTCAATTCTCTTTTGTTGCTTCACATGTATTGCAGGTGTTTTTTGTGCAGATACACTGAAGATTGCTAAGTCATCTTGGTAAATTGATGTTTTTATTACTATGTAGCTTCCCCTCTTTTTCCATGGTAATTTCATTTTCTTTGAGGTCTGCTTTATCTGATATTAATGTAGACACATCTGTTTTCTTTTGTTTGATGTGTTCAGGGTATATATCTTTTCCATTGTATTGATATTGTGGATCAGATCATTATGTATAGTATGAAGCTGTTCTATGCACTGAAGGCTGTCTAGCAGCACCCCTGGCCTCAACTAACTAGATATACCAGTACCACCAACCCATCGTGACCATTAAGAATGTCCCCAGACCTTTACAGATGTTTCCTGGGGAAGGAAGATCATCCCTGGAAATCACATCTACCAGTGTAGAGGTCAGGAAAGCAAGAGGTACTAATGTGCCATGTTGCTTTCGACCGCATTTGACACATTATTATAATAAAGACTTGACCTCAGAAACGAATAAGCTGATTTGCAAGCAAGGTTTAAGGTTGTAACTTTCTCATTTCCAACAGGGAAAACTTACATTTGAGAAATGCTTTGAGGGTCAAGGGCAAGTTAAAATACAAAATTATGGCAAAGTCTA